TTGAAAAATTCAAGAATTCTCTCAAGTATTCAAGTTGGATCTCTTGGACAAGAGATGTTGCTAACACAAAGTGTTTGCTGAAAATTTTCTTTCATAATTCACCTCCAAAAAATGTTGGACTTTAAGGCTCCTTTATAGCCTTTACAAAGACTCAAAAGAAATCTAATTAAATTAGGAAACTTCTTAACTAAACCTAATTCAACCCTAACTAGGAAACTAACTCGTCTTAAGGCTTAACTATGGTCAACATGACCTAATCTTTTAGTTAACCAAACTAATGATTCATTTGACTCTTAGGCTAACATGAATCGGACCAACTAACAATACTTGAACCAACCACAACAATTGGTTGGAAAATATCATAAACACATGATGCTAAGAACTTAATAACCAAGTAAACACACTAATTCTCAAGAAAGGGATGGTTGGAATGTTGGACTTCAATTACTCAACCATCTTCATGACTTGAACATGAATCACAGACCCCATGTTCATATCATTCCTCTCCTCTTGAAAGCAATTTGCCTACAAATCGTCAGATTGGAGAAATTGCAGTAATTCGGGCATCACTTTCATATGAGCATACCAAGTTGAATGGCGTTTATGCAACTGCAAGAAACTCACAAGTAACGTTTTCAATCAAGGAATGTACCAATGTAAATGAAGTTGATTACAGTGCCTTCTTGCTTTTTGTTTCTCACAAACAATCTTGACCAAGCTGTTATCATAGCTTGGGAAATCGACACCTTGGATTCGAATGTACTTCTTGATGCTCAAGAATTTAAGTTGCGCATAAAACTCAACTCGTGTTGGCAGCAACATGATAGAATTAGCAGCTATGCTATATCTTCTTGTGAACAAGCAATCGACAATGAAATACTTAAAGGGAACAAATGGCCCGAGTCTATGGGTGAATGGTGATTAGAAAAACCATGGACAGCTGCTGGTTTGGGAACACCAAATTCGACGGAAACAAACATGAAATCTGGTTGCATTCCACAAAGATAAGTCTGAAAAATTTTGGACAGCGTTACAATCTACAAAAATGAAGTAAGTTTCAGCTTGTAACGAACCAGAAATAGGGTATATAAGCAATGGAACATCATTAGCTAAGTGATAAGAAGGTGTAGAATAAGAGTTAAATGTGAAAACTCCTTTGACACTTCATTATTCCTTCCATCAACCAATTCAATTAGATGAATCATTGCTGGCTCTTTACACTTTTCATTAAAATCTACATAAGAACGACAAGAATTAGGACTAGTAACATGCTCAAAATAAGGCAAATATGATGAATGAATCATAGGTAAAGAATGAGAAGTAAAATCTGGAATTCCCCGTTTAAGGTGAACTCGAGTTGACTTTCCAAAAGTGCAGATAGATTTGGCCTTATTCGATTCCATGAATTGACATCAAATTGACTTAACTCCTAGAAGACAAACTCCATGGAGACCAGTGAATTGTACAAGTAACTTTGGAATGGAACATTGCATGACTAACTCCACTTGACTTCGCTTAATCTGCATAAAAGAAGAAACACTAAACAAAGCAAATGTAAGTTTGTTAGGAAAACAATAAGCTCCCACATTCTCAGTTGAAATTAGCTCACTTGATTTTGTACTCATCTTATCAGATTTTTCCATCTCTTTTTCTAGCTCACTTTTCTCAACTTTTACCTCATATGCACCCTCAAGTGTTACCTCACACTTCTCACTAACAACTTCATCTTTCCACTTTTCAGCTTGAATGACAACTTCCTCAATCTCGACCTTTCAACTGGCTTTTTCTTTTGTTTTTCTTGAAGAAGACGTTGGTAAATATCCCACCAAGATTTCTTCTTAGATAACTCAAATGCAGCCTTAGACTTTGAGGAAATTGATGTAATAGACTCCTTATCCCTTTTGAGTGGTCTTTCTTCTTTCGGTTCACCATATGTTGACCAATTGCGAGAGCTTTTAGGATTCACAGCTCGATTATGGTCATGAGACCTCTCAAATGAACAAACTGATTTGGTGTAGAATGAGCTCTTTTTAGATGCTCGGCACGTCCTCTTTTGGTTTTCCATATAGTCATCACAAGTGCGCTTATATCTCATAAGCTCGTAGTGCACAATCACGATCCATCTTCTCCTTGAGGGTATGAAACTTATGGTTTGACACTTTAGCATGGCTAGATTGAATGGAACCCTCATCTTGCGAGATTCGTTTTCGATTCTATCAAGCCTTTTATGCATGAGTTAGACTGATTTGTCTAACCTCCGTTCAACATCCCCAATATGGATTCCAACATAAGGGAGGATCAAAATGGTGTGAACTACCTGTGGTATTCATTTTTGACCTGCAAAATGGTTAGTAAAAATAAAGAAAAGTTTCCTCACAGCATACCCTCACGTGCATGCACACGTACTCATGTATCACTCAAGTATTTAAAACACTCTAATAAGTTCACCAAGCAAATCTCTTGGTCATTGATCTCCTTATTTGAAGAAATCAGAAATTCCTCAAGTAGTTCAATGACTTATCCAACAAAGCACAAGGAAGTGATGTAGATGAGATTTATACACTTGAGTTGAGATTTGATCACAACAAAGACTAATTTGAATGACTCAAAAGTGCTGAAACAAGGCCAAAAATTCCCAAGTTTGGTTCGTGGAAAGTGGAACTCGTAGACCCTAATAAAATTTGGTGAAACCCGAATAGATTTGATGCCAGTTTGTGCCAATTTTGGACTAGATTTAAGACACAATTTATACTTAAATTCTTACTGAAAATCAGCACCAAAAACTTGATTTGATTTGGTGTTTAATTTAGCCAAGAAAGACACAAGACAAAGAAGACTCGAATTAGGAAACTATGGACTCAACTTAGGAAACTTACGGACTCTTGGACTCCAAAACTAACTTGGACTCATTTAAAAGCTAGAAAAAGAACTTAGACACGGACTCTCAATGGCTGGACAAGACTCAAATAAACAAGACACAAATGGCAGAAATTTTGGGATCCTAGAAAATTTCTACCTGACTAGGAATGGCTGAAATTTGAAAACTTGTTTGGGTGACAAAATTTGGGAATTTGTTTGGGAAACTTGGGTTCACTTTTGAAAAGAAAGATATTAGTTTAAGAGCTTTCCTAAGTGCGGCTTAATAAACGAAATTGGACTAGGATTGATGTGACCAGATTTGGCAACAATCCAAGCCAAATTAGGTTTTCAAATTCAAAACTATTTTCTTGTTTGGCTTGGATCCGTTTCCTTTTCTTGTCTTTCCTTTTTTTTCGTTTCATTTCTCCTTTTTTTTTTCATTGATCAGTCTCTTTTCTTTCTTTCTTTTTTTCTTTTTCAATTCAACTTGCCACTTCAAGAAACAAAAATTAGCCGCAAATACCCAAGAAGATGAACTAGGGTTTCAAGAATTTGGAAAGTTGAAAACTTTTGTATCAAGATTTCAAGAACCCAACTAGGCGATCCAAGAACTTCAAGAAATTACCAAACCAACTACAAGACTCAAGAACAACAAGAAACAAATACAAGGTATGCAATTTTTTTTTCGGATGAACAGTACCATTACAGTACTTCGGATGAACAGTAACGACACGGTGAACAGTAACTATACTATAGTGATGAATAGTAACTATGCTACAATACGACTTTTTTTTTTACTCAAACAACGAATCTGATCAAGGGAGACAAACGACACAAGGAAAAAAAAAACCAAACGAGCGACACAAGGTAATCATAAGATATTCAAACCCTAGAACGATGAACTGTTTTTTTTTTTTTCAAAATAAGAAGGATTAGGGCTTGGTAGCAAAACAAAGAGAAAATCAAAAGAAGAAAAAGATATTAATCTAAATCAAGAGCCGAAACTCTGATACTAGATGATGCGATCTCGACCCAGCAAGAACCTATCTTGAAGAATCGAATCGATCAGGCAGCGGAATGATTTATCTTGATCAAGTTATGGATAAATTGGACGGATTTTAGATAATCAAGGACCACTCGAGATTGAATAGAATGGTAGAATGATGCCACAATTCAACGTGATTTTGAATTGATAAGTCAATTGAAAACTTAAGAATCCTCTCAAGTATTCAAGTTAGATCTCTTGGACAAGAGATGTTGCTAACACAAAGTGTTTGCTGGAAATTTTCTTTCATAATTTACCTCCAAAAACGTTGGACTTTAAGGCTCTTTTATAGCCTTTACAAAGACTCAAAAGAAATCTAACTAAATTAGGAAACTTCTTAACTAAACCTAATTCAACCCTAACTAGGAAACTAACTCGTCTTAAGGCTTAACTATGGTCAGCATGACCTAGCCTTTTAGTCAACCAAACTAATGATTCATTTAACTCTTAGGCTAACATGAATCAGACCAACTAACAATACTTGAACCAACCACAACAATTGGCTAAAAAATATCATAAACACATGATGCTAAGGACTTAATAACCAAGTAAACACACTAATTCTCAAGAAAGGGATGGTTGGAATGTTGGACTTCAATTACTCAACCATTTTCATGACTTGAACATGAATCATCGACCCCTTGTTCATATCACAATATTTGAGTTACTTGCTAGTAACTCTCAACAAAAGGCAAGTCAAGATAAAAGAGCAAGTGTCCATGAAGTGTCTATTTCTAAAGATTTGGATTCACAAGTGGCCGAATTAAGTCGTCAGATGCAATTGTTGCTAAAAGGCAAAACTCAGTCTTTTGAGGAATGTTCTCAAATGAATGATCTTTTTTTCTAATACGTATAATGAGGGATGGAGAAATGACCCTAATTTATCATGGAGAAATCAAGGGATCACCCCTTTGGGACCACCTTGGTTCCTAGATCAGCTGCAGAGATCTCAATATCTGCTTTCGCCGGCTCAAGAAAAGAAGCCAAGTGTTGAAAATATGACGTTACAATACATGCAGAAACTGGAGCAAATAATCAATTTCAACAAGTTTTTCTTCAAAGTTTGGAGAAACAAGTAGGCCAACTGGCAAAGGCAATGATTGAGAGGGGGCAAGGTAAACTGTCTAGTACCATTGAAGTGAATCCTAAAGAAGCTACAATGGCAATAACCCTTTACTCAAGGAAAGTGTTGGATGATCCAGAAGATAAAGTAAAGTCGGTATTTGAGAAGAAAAATGAGGTTAAAGTGGATGATAGAAGTGAAAAACTTGAGGATGAGCATGATGGATTAGGCAAAAAGAGTGAAGATGATCAACGTATAAAGGTGCCTGAAGTTAAAACTTACGTGTCACCTATCCCCTTCCCGTAAAGGCTTAAGAAGAAGGCAACTGATGAGATGAATCAGAAGTTCGTGGATATGCATAAAAAATTACAAGTCAGTATGTTTTTTTTCGAAGTTTTGGCAAATATCCTTGTTTATGCAAAGTTCTTAAAAGAGATAGTGTCTAATAAAAAGAACTTAAAGGACTTTGCAGAGGTGTCTCTTCTAAGGAATGCAGTGCAGTGCTTCAAAATCGTCTTCCAATTAAGATGAAAGATCCAGGGAGTTTTAATATGTCTTGTCAATTTGAACATCTTCTCGTTGATAAATGTTTATGTGATCTTGGATCTAGTGCTAATTTGATGCCCATATCATTTTTCAGAAAATTGAAGTTTGCCAACCTTGTGCCTACTCAAGTGATTTTGCAATTAGCTGATCGTTCAGTTCGATATCCAACAGGCATTGTAGAGGATTTATTGGTAAAAGTTGGTAAATTTTATCTTTCTGCGGATTTTATTGTTCTTGATATGAAAGAAGATATTTCTATACCTATTGTCCTTGATAGAGGGTTCTTAACTACGGGGGGAGCTAATATAGATTTATTTGAAGGAAAATTAACTTTAAGGGTTGGTAAAGAGAAATAAGACTTTAATATTTTTGAACCCTTAACATACCCTTCGTATGAGGAATGTTGTTCTTATATTGCTGCTATTGATAATTTATATGGTGAAAAATATGTTTTAGGGCAGAATATAAGATTTATGCATTTGCATGATCATCGCTCATCAATTTCTTTAGCGGTCTAGAAGCGCAATATTGATACGAACAGTTATGCAGTACTGCAGGCACATAAATTAGAGGATATACAAATATCTGAACCATTTCATTCTCCTTGAGTTTACTGGCATTGTTCGATTGAAAATATAAAACTAAGCACTTATCGGAGGCAATTCGACTTTTTTTTTTATTTAATATTTTTTGTTTTTGGTATTAATGGTGGTATTTAGTTTCTTAGGATTTTATTGCTTTCTAATTTGGATTATTTGGTGGTGTGTTCAACCCCTGTTTATGGTTTTCTTTTGTTCTTTTAGATTGGTAGGATGGCTTCCAAAGTTTGACTATTAGATGGTAACTGGCAACTTTCCTCCCACTTTGCTTGGTCATTGAAATTATTTATTATTAGGGGAGTCTCACTTTCAGCTCTTTTCTTGTTATTATTTCTTTATTTTACTCACAATATTGAGGACAATGTTGTCTTAAGTGCGGGGGAGGGGTGCAAGAGTGAAGTGAAATTTTTGGAAATTTTTTTTTGATTTTTGTTCTTATTATTGATTTCTTGATAGGCAATGGGTTATATTCAAAGAGTTATTATTATTAAAGTTTATTTGTAAGGATGTGTTAAGTGTTAAATGGTGTTGCCTTAGAGTGTCTCTTTAGTGAAATTTGATATTTTGAGACTTTTCAATTTTTGGCTAATTTTTCTAGGCATTGTAAATATTTTTTTAGCATTTTTCTTGTGAATTTGACCTAATTATTAATCTTAGTTCTCTATGATAAAGGGAGATGAAGTAGGGTTTTATGTTATTATTGGTGTTAAATGCTTATTTTATTAATTTGACTGTATTCCGCTGGTTATTGTTGCCCAATGGGTCTTCATCTAAAAGTGTTGACTTTCACATCAAAAAGTGACGATAACTATGAGTATGAGATTCTTAAGTGGTGAAAGCTGAGTAACTGGGTTTTTTCATTTGGAAGATGTTGATGTTCGTATCAAAAAGCTTGAACGGCTGAAAATTGAGCACATTTCCCTTTGTTAAAATGTGAAAAAGGTCAAGTGTGGGGGAATTTGAAGAAAACAAAGAGAAAAATAAAGAAAAACAAAAAGTGAATTATAAATAATAGTTTGTGGATCCATGTAGTTATATATTTGAGATTTGGATTAATGGTTGGTCCATTTTGCTATAAAATGCTTGTTAAATATTTTATATACCTAAATTGGATAGCCGGACTTCAAAGGGTCGATGGTGTTAAAAACTAACTGAAAAAGTATCTCTTTGGTTTTCATTATTAGCACTTGACACTTACTTAGAATGGTTGTTTTAATAATGATAGTCTTAAATATAACCATTGTTTGGAGTTAATAGGTTTGTTCTTGTGCTCGAGGACAAGCACGGATTAAGTGTGGGGGAGTTTAATAGGGCGTAATTTATGATACATTTATAGGTATAAGTTGCTAGTTAACCATGTTATTTGAGTTTTATCTTGAGTAGAAACTACTTAATTTTGCTCTTATATTGTTCTAATGGGTGAAAAGCTCAATTGGAAAGAAAATGGCTAAAACATGGTGCGAAGAAGCAAAGGAATAATAAAACGTGAAAAGTGAATTGACATGTTCAAAGTTTTGGCGATAATTTGAGCTACACAAATTGGATTGAGATAATTCTTGATTCATCTTGAAGCTAAGAGAATGCTCTCCAAATCCTATGAAGACATCAAAGTTTGGTTTTCACATTTTCATAGCCAAATATTCAAAATACTGAAGTATAGTTGCGTTGTGAAGTTTTTCTGACTAGTTATCAGTATTTTGAGCATATCTTAGGAACCTGACTCCAAATGACTTGATTCTTATGGCATTGAAAAGCTAATTTAAAGGACGGGGCGGCACTTGCGATATTTCGGCATAGGACGCATTTTATTTAGCGATTTTTTAGATGTTAATTCAATAAAATAAATATAATATAAACAGTAGACTGGAAATGAAAGTCTATTTCTCGCATCCATCATACAAAAATATCGGATGCAAAACATTTGGTACACGAAGCCACGATACAACTTTTATGTTTTGAGTAAAAGCTGATTTGACCTCAATGATGGAGATTTTTGGTCTTGAAATGGATATGCACACAGATCCGAACCGATCCATCCGCGGATCTTTAACAGATTGCGTCGATATTCACACCGGAGTTCTTCTAGTCAAGTCATCCGAAAGAACTCCGGCGCCAGAGTTTAGACCGGTGTTCATTGGGAAAATGCGCGAAATTGATGTTTTTCTGCTCCAATAAATCCAATCCTACCCCATTTTGGATACTACTTTAAGAAACTATAAATGGGGGCTATCGATGACTTTTTTTGGGGTGGAAAACATTAGTTTAAGTTAATTTTAACATTTTTTCATAGTTTATTCTTAAGAGATCAAGATCAAACGGAGGCGAATCAAAGAAGTGCACAAGAAGAAGATTGGAGCAAACAATTGAGAAGTTTTCTTACTCTTTTTCTTATCTTTGTAGCAACTCTTTGAATTCGTAGTTTTAATTTTCAAATCATGTTGAATTCGTAGGAATTTGATTAATTTTTCTACTTTAATTTCTTGCTTTTTGCTATGATTTATCTATCTTGATTTAATTACGTGTTTATGTTTGGCCACCACAGATATGTTTTTAGGGTTTGTATTTTTTTTTTGACGAAACGATAAGATTTTCCATTGACTAAAAGAAATGTACAGGTGCAAGCAAAGGCTCGAGAAACTTTACAATTAGTGCTCAATTGCACTGAGGAAAATACCATTCCTCATCCAAAAAAATGCCTAAGGCATAGGAACTTAAACTTTTACATCTTGTTAAATTTCCTTCACTAGCCAGCTCAAAAGAGCACATGCGAAACATCTTCTGTAATGCACGAATGTCATCAATCAGAGTTGTTAAACAACTGTCAGGTGAGCTCGGATGCTTAAGCTGTCTCAGTAACACTTTGTTGTCCTAGCATTGTTCCAAAGCTTTACATAAGACCAGTTTAATTGCTACTGTAGCATCAAGGAGCTTGGTTCCAAGTGTTCTCTCCTTTATTGCCCATTCTGCAATCCTTGTTTGCGAATATGTCTTAGCTATGACTCTAATTCCAGCTGACAGTTGCCTTTGCTAACTTGTCGAGAACACTTCAAGGGCTATGGACTCCTTCTCTTCAGTCTCCTGATGCTGCATTGTCGTATTAGAAGCTGTTTCTCCTGTGCTCCTTCTGTCCTTGGTTTGCCTTAACTCCACTTGTTCCAACCACTTCTGCTGAGCCTTGTTCATTACTCTTACTGGTGGACTTCTGCTTTGGCCTTCGAAAGCCTGTTTGTTTCTTTCTTTCCACACTTGTCGCAAAATATTTGCAGTTAGTCCAATATGTTGCGCTCCTTCTGGTCTTGATTTCGCCTCTGATATTTTGCACCACCATCGCCTAAAATCTCCTCGCTGATCTCTAACTCCATCCCATTGAATTGGGGCCACATTCCATATATCCAAAGTATTTGGACAACTTAATAGAAGGTGTTCCACTGTCTCCTGGTACTCCCCACAGGCTCTGCAAACTGGATCACCCAACCCTGTCCTTCTAAAGATGGCTTCCCTCACTGGCAATGCCCCTGTAATGCATTTCCATATAAATAGTTTAATATTATGTTTTATGTTTAACTTCCAAAGAGTATCCCACATCTGCTTCAGTTGCTGACTTCCTTCCCTTATGCTTGGGCCAGCTGCTTCTGAATTTGACTTCTCAGCATTGTCCCTTTCCTTCATGAGAAATTTGTATCCAGATTTGACCGAATAACAATCTCCCTCGTTATGTTGCCAGAAATAACTATCCTCTCTGTCTATTAGACTTATAGGAATACTCAAGATCCTCTCTGCATCAAATTGGTTAAAAATACTAAAAATGGTGTTTCTATTCCAACTCTTAAGGCTGATAAGCTCCTGCACCATCCTCAGTGAATTGTTACAAGGTCTTAGGGTAGTAGGCTTGCCAGTGGGTGTTCCTGGGATCCATTTATGTTCCCAGATGTTTATGCTCATTCCGTTCCCAATCCTCCTGATGACACCTTTTTCTATGAAGCTCCTAGCTCCTAGAAGCCCTTGCCAAAACCAAGAAGCATTCTTGTGAGCTTTACACCTGAATATGGACTCTTTGGGGAAGTACTTAGCTCTGAGAACTTTACTGAGGAGGAGGTTGGCTTGGTTAGTATCCTCCAAATCTGCTTCCCCAACAAAGCCTTGTTAAAAGCTTCTATATCCTTGAAACCCAAGCCCCCTTCAGGTTTATCCAGAGCCAGTTTTTTCCAAGACAGCCAGTGTAACTTGCTTTTCCCATTCGTTTCTCCCCACCAGTAGTTGGCCATTGATGCAGTGATATCTTTGCATAGTTTCCTTGGCAGTTTTAAAACAAGACATGGCATAAGTAGGCATTGCCATAGAGACAGCCTTCAACATGACCTCCTTGCCTGCACTACTTAGCAGTTTGTTTTTCCAACGCTGAAGTTTCCTTCGAATGTTTTCTCCGATGAAGCCAAATACTTGATTTTTGTCCTTGTTATCACCATTGGAAGGCCTAGATACATCCCTTGTGTCATTTCCCCCATTCCACCTAAGGCACAACATACTTCCCTCCTTTGCTCCAGAGAGATGTTCTTACTAAAGAAAATAGCTGATTTATCTAGATTAATCAGCTGACCTGATGCCTCTTCATACATCTTGAGGATCTTCATAATTTTCTTGGCCTGTTGGGTGCTGGCCTTACAAAATATGAGTGAGTCATTTGCAAAAAAGAGATGCGTAATAATAGGCACTTGCCTACTGATTTTCAGCCCCTTTAGCTAATTTCTTCCTTCTGCTCTCCTGAGCAGACTTGAAAAACCTTTTGAGCAAATTAGAAAAAGGTAGGGAGATAAGGATCTCCCTGCCTTATTTCTCTCCCCGGTGTGATGTATCCTTTGGTTTCTCCATTGCAGTTGAAGGATTAAGTAACAGTATGCATGCACTCAGTAATCCAGTTGATCCATTGTGGACAGAATCCCATCTTCTGCATGGTTGTCTGCAAAAAATGCCACTCTACCCTATCGTAGGCTTTAGCCATGTCCAACTTGATAGCCATGTATCCATCTAAACCTTGCCTTTTATTTTTGAGGTAGTACATATACTCATGAGCTATAATCACATTGTCCAGAATCTGCCTATCAGGAATGAAAGCTGATGGTGTATTACTAATGCAGATGTCTAGAACAGACTTTAGCCTGTTAGCCAGAATTTTTGAGATTATCTTGTAGATCACACTGCACAGGCTAATAGGCTTAAAGTTTTTCAGGCAAGTAGGATTCAGTATTTTAGGAATAAGGGAGATGACAGTGTGGTTAATCGATTTAAGCATACGGCCAGTATTAAAAAAAGAAAGAATAGCAGGAATGACATCTCCTTTTAAAATGTTCCAGAATCTTTGAAAGAATAGGGGTGACATATCATCCTGTCCAGGAGCTTTCTCAGGCTGCATGGAGAAAAGTGCATTTTTGATCTCTTTCTCTTCTATTGGTTTAGTTAGCTTAGCATTCATCTCATGAGTTATGGAATAGGGAATACCCTCTAGAACCTCTGACATATCCCTCCTACCTCCACTAGTGAAAAGCTCTCGAAAATAATCTGAGATTTCTGAAACTACTTCCTCCTCATTCTCAGTCCACGAGCCATCCTCCTTCTGCAACTTTATGATTCTATTGTTAGTTCTCCTCCCCTTAACATGAGCAGGGAAATACTTAGTGTTTTTGTCACCTTCTCTTAGCCAGTTGATTCTGGCTTTTTGACTCCAGAAATTTTCTTCTTCAGAGTAGGCTACTTTGAGTTGATGCTTAAGCTCAACTATTTTCTTTTTCCTGTTCTCACAATCTGAGTTTTTCACTCTTTCCAGCTCCTTTTTTAGCTCCTCAATCCTACTTTTGGAATTGGCTTTGAAAGAATTTCTCTATTTCAGAAGTTCAATCCTACAGTTCCTAATCTTTCTAGTAACGCTTAAACATACGGGATCCAACTTCCTCTTTTTGCCAAGCTCTTTCCACTACCTGGTACACCTCTTCCCTTTGAAGCCACCTTTTATCAAAGTAAAACCTCTTCTTCTTCTTTTTCACCCCTGTACAAGTGTTTAAGCACAAGATACTATGATCAGAGGCGTAAGTGTCAATATGCTGACAACTTGCCTTATCAAAAGTCTGGTACCACTCAATACTTCCCAAGCATCTGTCCAGTTTTTGCCTAACCTTACCATCATTATCCCAGTGGTTGCTCCAGGTCTAAGGGTGACCTTCGAAACCAATGTCAATCAGATGGTTATGATCCAGAAATTCCTTAAAGTCTCTAAAGCTCCTCTCTTCTCTAGCCAAACCACCCCACTTTTCCTCATTAGACAGAATATCATTGAAATCCCCAACTATCATAAATCTACTTCCTCACAGCCTGCTTCTCTCTTTAAGAACCTTCCATTGATTCTTCCTAATATGAGCATCACAGCTAGGGCTGCAAACGAGTCGAGCCGAGTCGAGTTTTGAGCTAATCGAGCCGAGCCTCGACTAAATTTTACCAAACTCGAGCTCGACGAGCCGGCAATTTTCAAGCTCGAGCTCGAGCTCCAAAAAAATAAAAAATAATTATTTTATTTTTAAAAAAATAAATAAAATAATATTTTTTTCTTAATAAATAATAAAATATTAAGGATATATACGTAATTTTACTATGAAAATAAAAAAAATATATATATATAATATACGTAATTTTATTATTAAATAAAAATAAAAAAAATAAAAAATATATATATATACTCAATCTCGCGAGCCGGCTCGCAAACTAACGAGTTTAATATTCTGAGCTTGAGTTCGAGCTCGAATTTGATTCGAGCTCGAATTTGATTCGAGCTCGACTCGAGCTCGATTCGAGCCGCTCGCGAGCGGCTCGATTCGTTTGCAGCCCTAATCACAGCTCGCATATACACCTATAAACCACCATATACAATTGAGATCCATATCCTCGATCTTGGCTTCAATGGTAAAAACGGTCCGATACACTTCGACCACCTGAGTGTCCTCCTTCCACAGCAAGGCCATCCCACCAGCCTTATGCATAGCTTCCACCACTGCCCTATTATCAAACCTCAGGCCCTAGCTATCATATCTACTACTGGTTTTCTATTTTTGGTTTCACTTAAGAAAATCAGGTTTGGAGAGAGAAGGTTATTCACCTCCCTCAGATGGGGAACTGTCAAGGGACTCCCCACTTCTTGACAATTCCACACTAAGGCTCTCATATTTGCATGGGGGCCCCATTCAGGATGGGCCCCTCCTCCTCTCCTTCCCTCTCAGTGGGTAACCTCCAACATGGATTTGGTCTTTTTACAAACTATCTGTTGATACTGCGAATCCTCCATCTCTTCATCACAAGGCAGCACCTTCCTTTTACCATTCCCTATAAGGTTAAGATCCTGATCAGACAGCTCCTTTAAGGGCCTTCTAGATACAACAGGAGTCTTCAGTTTCCTATAGGACCTCTTAACCTGTTTCTTAACCGCCTCCTGGATCTTACTACTTATAAGAAGTTCTTCCTGGATGTCTGTTTCCCTTACACTATGTTCCTGGATCCTGACTGCTTGATCTATCCCTGGTGGTAACATGTCAGTGTCCTCCTCCCTCACTTCCAACCTTACTGGCTCTTGCCTCTCTCTCACAGAGGCTTGATCAGTCAAACAAGGTCCTTGATTCCCCAGGGCCCTTTGCTGATAACCATCATTAGAGCCTCGTTCTACTGTACTATCATCAAATTTCCTAGGTGTGCTACTGTTCGGAATCCCCAAGCTCTTCACCTCCCTTTCCCTATCCAGGAGTTGTTTAGTTCTATTTTCCTTATCTGCATTCTCAAGGAACTCCAATAGCCTACCTCCTGTTGGCATCCTGCTCCTCTCCCTCTCAACCAGCTCTCCATCCTGAAATTCTCAATATCTTTTGTCCTTATTCAGATCAGCTTTCAAATGTCTTTCCTTACTAGGACTTATGGTACTACCTGCTCTTATCCAAGGGCCGTATTGGTTCTCTGAGAGCCTTGCCATCGTAACTCTCTGCTCTTTACAAGATCTTTCACTATGGCCTACCACACCACAATTATAACAAAAGTCTGGATATCTCTCATACTTGAAAACTACCCACTTAAATGTTCCTGCTGTTTGAACTACTGTACCTCTAAGGAGAGGTGTTGATAGGTCTACAAGGGCCAGGATTTTGAGATGTCTACCCTCTTTTCCCCCAGACTGAGGTATAATAACCTCTTTCACTTCTTTAAACACAGCTCCAATCTTCCTACCCACCTCTTTAGTTAGCCAATGCACAGGCAAGTTCCATGGTTGCATCCACGAAGGTGCTGTAGCAAAAGCTCCATAATTTTCTTCAATCTCTTCTGACCACATCCTAAGAATCATCACTTGATTATCTATCACCCACGGACCCCCTTCCACAATCCTATCTCTCTCTTCCAGATTAGGAATGTTAAACTGGTATAAATTGGCCCTAGTTCCATGACTGTCAAGTTTTGGGGTAGCTCCAAGCAGCGGCAACAAAGTTCTTCACCCCTGTAAAGTTAGCTACTTTTTCCCCCATAATTCTGCCTATCAAGCTTCCTTCACATTCTCTAACTTCACTGTTTAGATCCTCTGGATTCAACATAGCTCCCGCAAGCTCATTTCCAGCTAAGGAAAATTTCTGTAACAGCTCGGTCAACTCACCCTCCATAGATACTGACAGAGGTTCTAACGAGTATTACCCTTCCACCCCACAAGGGACCAGAGCTTAACGTCTACCAAATGGAGACAGACTTACACAAGCACCGACTGGAAAAGAAAAGAAAAGGAAAGAAAAACCAGAAAAAGACTACCAGAGCAACACTACCTCATAAAAAACAAGGAAAGATGATAACAGGGGTATCAAGAGAACAAGCTTTAGCTTACCATGGGCCATGGCATTTATGATGCGTAGTGCTTCCTTTGGTCGGACACCCTTTATGAACATGGGCCACCACTTTGATGATGCTTAATGCTTCCTTTGGTCGGACATCCTTCACGATCTAACGTTAATAAAAGTGCTGTGTTAACTGTGTGTTGGATTCAGATCTATTGTAATCTATAGTTGGATTGTTTCCATGAATGATGAGTCGTGGGAAATTGTATTTTTTGAAAAAGTTTAAGATTGCTGAAGTTCCCACCACTGGAGGAAGGCTCTAATCCCAAGAGAGAGAGTTCCCTCTACACTGAGAGGATGTTTTAGGGTTTGTATTGAACTGAGAAAGATATACAACCGTGCACTAGATAGATAAACATGTTTATATCCTAATCACGAGAGTAGGTTATGATTCGTATGACACACTTATATCATTAAAATTTTTAAACTAAATTGAATACTTGCGATCTCAAGAGAGACATAGGATTTAATTAGGCATACTTTAGATATATCGAGAGATAATCTAAAATACAATTATGTGATGCGTTCATGTGTTATATTGAGAAATTAATTAGATAATTGATTCAAATTCTGGATTAAAACCTGAAACCCTAGGCTCGCGTCTATTGTTTTCTCGCCACTACTCTGTTTGAATTGATTATTCATTTATTGTTTAGTTAGAAAAACTCACTCCATAAATTTAAATTTTGTTATTTTACAATAATTAATGTAGAAAATGAACTCGTCCCATGTGGGTTTGATCCTAGAATACTCTAGATAAATTGTTACTACGATTGACCCTGTGCGTTTGCATTAAATCGTCGATCAGGGCAAATCAAAATAGAAATCACGGCATACAAAATGGAACGGATTGAGTAATAAATACTCCCTCCATCCCAAAATTTGGGACGCTTTTTGGGAAACGCACTTTTTATGTACAGTAGCATTACGGGACAGGCTTATCTGACTTTTCCAAGCGTACCCTTTGCTGTTTGTGGAGTGAAACAACAAATTGGTGGGACCACTTGCCATTAAGTCACTTTGACTAAAAGGCAAAGACAATCAGAAGGGTATAACTTCCGATGATGTGTTGTGGCTGGGTCCATCAGAATTGGTTAGTGCAATCTTGATTTGTCAATAGAAGGGTATAACTGGAAAATAATTGTAAAAGTGATTTGACTTTTTCAAAGTGACTCAAATTTTGGGACAAGCAAAAAGTGGAAATATGACATTAACAATGGGACGGAGGGAGTATACTAACTTTTGCATATCTAGAAGTTTGTTAATATGCACTTGTAGTAATTGTTAATCAGAGTATCGAAAAATTTCCAAAGTTGAATTTTTAGCAAGGTTACTTGAATGGTAGGCTGTAGGACATGCATTTGCGTGTATCATGCACTTGTAAATCGAGTTTTTATTTGCTGTTCTTAATTTTATGAGTATTAATATTGTAAAACCAACATACGTTGTGAAAGCAATTTTTCCTTTTTCTAAACGTTCTGAAAGCAAATCAATAAGAAGAAAAAGAAAAAGAAAATCAAAATCTCCTTCTTAGCTTTCTGATGAGCACCTTCTACAGCTTGAGAATTTCGTACTCACATCATTGCCAAACAAGATAATGATCCAGTACAAATAATTGAAATACATTAGTTACATAAAAAGCCATAGAAATAAGCCAAGTGATATAATGTATTTGAGATATAAAAATTAATTGTGCATGATACTCGCAAAGTGATATAATGTATTTGAGATATAAAAGGGGTTTAGAATACAAAAATGTGTTTATAATTCAAACTAAATAATATTTAGAAAATATTAGAGTTGTTTCTTAGAAAAGGCTAAATACGTTCTCTAACCGTCTATTCAACTCATAAACACTTTTAAACCCCCCCCCCCCCCCCCCCCAAAACCAAAAAACAAAAAAAAACTGCAAAATAACCATCCAAGCAGACTATTGCAGATAGGATAAGTACGTTTAACTATTTAAGCTAGTGCCTATTTCTGTAGAAATTTTCTATTTCGTTTCCCATGAAAATAGATGAAAACAAAATTGATGTCAGAATCACCACACTTTTGTAGGAAAAATATATAATTTTCTGAATTCGATAAAAAGCTTATTTGTTGACCCGTATAACTCCATTTCAAGGTCCCATATGTGTCGTGAAACTTACGGAAGTGGTCCTCTCCATTTCTTGCTCATGGAAATAGTAATACATCATGTACAAGTGTACTGCATGTACTGCAAACACCATCTTAGAAGTTCAAACTTGATATGTAGTACAATACAATCATCAACTTTTCTTCAAAAAAAAATTTTGTTTTTGGGATAGTAGAGGGAAGAAATGAACGGGAATATTGTCGAATTAGCTAGTTCACAACTTCACACAATCTTATAAAAATGTTACTACAGTGAAAAATGCGATACAAATGAAGCCGATTTTGAATCATATCTATTATACTTCTTGATGTTACATCCATGTTACACGATATTTTAAGATGGTATTTGTATTCTCGTTTAAATTTTGCGAATTTATAACGTAACTGTGAAAAAGTGTAACGGAAGACTCAATTAATAGAGTCTGACACGCTTTGGAGTTTGGACGAAGGTATGTATTCACTAATCATTTAAGTAATTGAACATAAATATCTCATGCAAACAAGAAAAGTATCAAGGATGAATTAGTTGATTTGATGTCTTATTCAAGATGCATGTAGCTCTATGTACTTGAGAGTATAGTATCAATAACTGAGGAAAGTTCATAAAGAGAAACAACTTCTGGGGCCAGTTACAACTTTTGCTGCCAATTGGGCAGCTCGAGAAGATTCAGTTCTTCGAAAATCAGCATTCTCCCATCTCCGACGAAACGAAGGCCTTGGCAGATTTTCAGGCACAATAGTTTCCAATGAGTTCACATGCCAAGAAGGGCATGTTCTTCTGTCACTCCATCTCTGAACTTTGATCACTGATTTTGACGCCATCTCTTCTTGTTGCTGTAGATCCCAAGCAAGAGCCATTTCTTGTTCACCTACTACTAAATTGCTCATCTCTAGTCCTACAAGTAAGGTTGCCACCCCTAACAAGCACTTTCTCTTCCATGATCTTTCCTTCTGATTCTTAGGCCTACACAAAGAAAGCCATGTTTGTTACCCAACTGAAGAAAAACAACTCAAGCAAGTCATAAGTATTTACCTTTACCGTTGGAAAATGTTACAAACGAAAATAAAGAGCAAAAATTTTTGTAAAAATATCTGAGTAGCAGAAGAGATATCCACATTTTACAAATGGTTTACTTACCAGGCCAAATGGGATGCTTTTGAAGCCAAAGGTTGATCAGAGGTAGCAGTACAAGATGGTGGAGGAGGAAGATTGAGGCAGCAACTGATGGAAAGGGCCATTTTCTTGATTTCCCTCCTTGCTTCTTTTGCACCTCTACTTTTCTCACTTCAGCTTAATCAATCAATGATCTCTCCAATAACTGAGGAAAAGCAATCACCAATAAGATTCTAGTATTTGGTCATATATATAACGTGTACTGTGTACTACATGCTTTGCAGAAGTTGGAAAAATAAGAAAAGTAGATGGTCAAAGTATAGGTAGCAACAAACAAGGACCCCAAGTGTGGCCTTTTGTGTTGTGGTTGAGACGTGGGGTTGGACCCATCTGTACAAAGAAGATACTTCTTCTTTGCTTGCCGTCTTCCACTTGTACTGTTACACCAGACGATATTCTTGTCCAATATTTTGTGTCTATTTTTCTATTTAATGCAAAATTACTGTAAGAAAGTATGAAGAAAAAAGGAAAGTCTGCATTAAATGTAAATGCGGTCTAATTGTTTGGAATTCTGAAACTGGCTGGTGCGGTAGATAAAAAAAGAGCTCGCTTCAGACAAAATGCATCTGTATGACAGTACTTCCAGTTGTCAAATTGTGTAGCAAATTGATAGAGCAGTTCGTTACACATACAGAATCATGGCAATCAATGTGTTACATGGCTACAAAAGCTAGGTGCGCTGATGAATAAACGGATAAATATACCATATGTTGATAAGCATTCGGGAGGTACACGGTATAAAATTCATTGCTAACAACAATGTAGAAGATGTCAGCCTTCCAAGCAAAAGCATCTAAATGGAACGCAAGGGACACATATAAGTTTCAACAAAACACAAAACACAAGCTTTGCATCAGCTCGAGCTTGTCTATTCCTGACAGTATTCAAAAGATCTGTAACAGCATTAATGCAACTTAACAGAGTAGCATAGACAAGGAAAGATCAGACAGTTTTTGTTTTTTTGTTGTTGCAAGAGTCATCAACTTCTGTAGATTCTTCTTCCATTTCTCCAGAATCTCTAAACCTTCTTGTGAGGCGAACTCGTGGTTTTGAAGAAGATCGTTGTCCCTCTAGAACGAAAAAGCAAGCAATGTTAATAAAGCGAACAAGAGGAATGGAAAGCAAGATTGTAAAAAAAGGAACCTGAAGAACCAGCTTCTGAGTTCTGTGCTTCAATTTGAAGAAACTGATTCTGAACACTGATGCAGGAATCTTTGTTGAAAGAAGATGTTGCTGCATTTTCTTCGAAGTAATAAGCAATTGTGTAACGGTGATTTCCACTACCATCCTTTGTATTTCCTGGTTTCAGTTGGGCAATGAACATCTTTTCTTTAAGCTCTCTATGCACAGTTTCCAGTAGGAGTTCTTCATTCTGTTAAATAACCCCGTCAACGTGTATTAGTATGATAATCTGCATGCATTTAATACAGAGTTAGCCAAAGGTAGTCGTAATTTCGACCTTGTT